TGCCTTAAACATTCGAGAATGTAACTCTGCAAAACTAAAAGCTTTTTTGTCTTTTTTGAAACGTATATTATTGGAGTATTGCTTATTGGCAAGTTCTACCCTTCGCTTCTGAAATTTACAAACTATATTGAAATAATGCAAGTAAAAAATAGTGACAACTTGTAAGCCATAATTTTCCGATAACGACAAAATGTGGATGCAAAACAATACCAATAATTACAATAACCACCACGGTGATTACTTTTTAACAATGAGTTTAACGATTAACACTGAAAATGCAAAATATGCATGGTGTGCTGTGAAGCGTCATAAGTCTTAGTCTATTAACTGTGAACTGTGTAAGCCCTTTCGATACATGTAATTGTAAATCTGTATTCTTACAGGGCTTGAAATAACGTTCCCAAAGTTCTCGATTATGACTTTCCCTGATTTTTTCAGGTTGGAAACCGAAACCCTGCTTTTCCGCGGATCATAATCAATTCCATGCCGATCATTGATCGGTTGTTATTTCAAGCTCTGTCTTAACAATTTTGAATTGATACTGATTTCAAATGACTAAAGCCATGTAATAATTATCCCATGCAACAGTTAGGAAGGGCGAACTTTTGAACGGAGGACAAAAATCCTAAAGAAAAGGTGAAGTTTCTAAAGGGGGGCGAATTTCCTAAATGGGGGCGAATTTCCTAGGATTTTCGCCCTCCAGGGGGGGCGATATTCCTAGGAATTTCGCCCCCCGGGGGCGAAATTGTAGGGGGGGCGAAAATCCTGGGACACCGGGAAAAAATTTTCAGCACTTGTCGGGCACAATCCGAAAAATTCGGGCAAATTTCTTTCTGCCCCCCTAATTTTCTCCCGTCCCGTACGCCTATGGCAAGTTTCAGTTGCGTCTTTCGAAATTCAGCTTAGATTTCAGCTTCAAGTTTCAAGGATGAATAGGCAGAATAGCAAACACTCACTAAACTCATAAAATGTAGTTCTTTGTAGAGTATATTCTAGGAGCAACGTTGTGGGACTGAAATGATAACAAGCTAAAGCTTACTACAATCTCGTGCAAAAAATAATGAGACTTTTGATATTTCGTTCTATTTCCGTAATTATAATTATTCTCCTTCCCCCGTATACAATTTTTGAGAAAAAATTTGACCTGACAATATAACTTTGTATCGTCTGTCCAACATTGTTTATGGGGGGAGGGCAATGACTTTATTTGCCGTCTCAATAATTTTTGCATGCGATTGTAGGTTCACCAAAGAGGTGGGGTAGGGTGGAGTGGCAAAATGCGGGGGTACAAAGGCGTGGAAGGTGCAACATGTACACATGGAAAGTTGCAGCATGTGATTTTGGTTCTTGCAAGTTCTTCGATTATGTTGTTTTCAAGAAATAACTTAATTTGAAACAAAAGATTTCATATACTGGCATTTTTCATGTTGATCCTGGGGCCACTAATGCTCTAATGACCCTAGTCATCAACTACAGATTATTAAAATCATTACTGCATAATTTTTACACTAGAGTTGCAAAGACCATCAATTAAGGTTATGATGATATAATATGCTAAATATTGG